ATGTGAGAGCCTGGTCCGGTGAGAACCCGGCGTGCTCCGTCCCGGCTTTGTAGGGATGCGAGGTCAGTGGTCTAACGACTACGGCATGCACGACTATGAGTACACCCCCCCCCATCACGTCTGCCCCTCTGGCCCCTATCCTCCACTTCTACTAGCTAGACGACGTATGTACCGCCACCATTGACCCCGGGGATGGTGCGTTCTGATCCCCTGAAGTTGAAGGAAACTTCCCCGCGTTAAGGAAACATTTTTTGAAGCAAAATCATATGTTTTCTTCAAGCGGGGTCGACTACTGTATACATTTACCTCATAGGTCTCGTGAAAGCGGTCCCCCTTGCTAGCCTTGAGCATGTTGTACCGCAGGTCTCCGCCCGCGCCCTTGGACGAGGCGGGGCTCAAGTCGGTGCAGCCCCCTACCTTGTTGTGGGTGCCGCCACCGTAGTCCCCCGTGGGTCCTCCCGCAGAGGCTCCGGCGGCACCACTCTTGGACGAGCATACGCCCATGGTGCACTCTCGTCGATTAAGGGAGGCGCTCACGTAGATTCGTTTTGTGCGCTCTTTTTACTCTGTGAACGTGAGACGTGCATCATACAAACGCGGCGTACAGGAGGGAATGGGGAAAAATTTCAAGGGTAATTTAGCGATGCTATCGCTGTGTAAGGTGGTAAAGACCGAAACAAACTGCTCAATTCGTTCATTGTACAGCGTACACCGCAATGGATGTTACACGAAACCCTTTTTGCTGCTGGCGCTGCTGCTGCTTCGAACATCGATGCAAGTGTTGTTGCGTGTTTCTGTCGTGTGCGGCCGATGAAGCACCTCGTTATCAAGTCTGGACATCGTCGGCAGCCACCCCACATGGAGAGACCTACCATTCTCGTTTGAGGGTCGTGCAGGTGCCGCCTGGTTGCTGCAGCAATGTGGTAATAACAACTGCAGCAGAGACAGATCATGTCTCTGTTGTTGCTGTGTGAATACATCATCACCCGAGAGGGTAAGTTGAACGTAGGTTGGGCGCAATCATGCTCGTTTGTTCTGCCTGCGAGCAGACGACCGTGGGGTTGAAGGAAGCACACAACCACAAGATCGTCTAAAATCAAAAGCAATACGCTGACTGACCTTCACCGCGTGCGTCAAGGGGGGTCGAGAAGGCAGGTCCTTGCAAGGAGAGCCGAGCGGACGGCCGAACCGCGCGCTCTGGAATAGAGGTTCCAGGAGTTCCAATGGAAACAAGAAGGATTTCTCTGTACGTACGTAATTTCGGGAACACCCGCGCCAAAAAAGAATAATAGACAGCTGCAGGAGGAAGCGAGAGAACGAGACAGGAGAAGGAGAAAGATTCACGAAAAATGCCGATGCCCATCGTATAGCTCACCACGCCTAGAGCATCTGACGCACAATAGGTGCCTCGCATGTTCCAGATTGCGCGGGGTACCTGTAGCTGGGAGTGAAGCTCTTGCAGGTATTTCGAACACACCAGCCGAGTTTGGCTGGTGCACGATGGTGACATGGAGATGCGGGCACCCCGGGTGCGGGAAGCACTCGTCGTACGGCGTCAAGGGCACAAAAGAACGGGAATTCTGCGGCCGGCATGCTAAGATGGGGATGGTGGACGTCAGAAGCAAGAGGTGCGGCCACCCCGGCTGCGAGAAGCACCCATCGTACGGAGCTGAGGGCACAAAAAGGGCCGAGTTCTGTGCCTCGCACGCGGCGGAAGGGATGGTGAACGTCAGTAACAAAAGGCGAGGTCCAGACAGCCAGCCCCCTTCGTGTTTCTTGTGCACTCGTGTGGTTCAAGAGTACGTCTGTTTTAGGTTGTTCCCCGACAGCAAGGAGCGTACCAGTAGATGTCTTTCATGCGCAAGAATAGGAGCTACGGCTCTCAAAGCCCGTCGTCGTCTCCGCAGCCGCGACTCTAGCCGTACCAATTAAGAGACACTTCCGCCACCCTCCGCTCACACAGCTCGTTCTTGACTTAACAAGGATGAATATCATTAGGACGAATATCATTGATGTCGAGGTATCGTACGACAGCTAACATCACAGGCTGCCTCCCAAAAACATAAGAAGAAAATAATCGTATGCCTAAGTGCTGGGAAGATATGGCTCCTGTAATACCCCTATTTTTTCCGGGATATTACGGTGGAAAACACCCCCGCCCTCGTTAACAGACACTTGAATGATGTGGTGATTGCGCGAGATCTAAAGCGTTTCAAGACCTGATTTTTTTTCGTACACGCTTTGCTTGAACTCATGTCCATGTAGAACAAACAAATTAGGGGATCGATTCAGCCAGTTTTCGTTGATCCGGTTTGCCTCGTAGATGTGAGTTGTTCGCTCCGACAACGCGGGGTGCCTCGCCATGAAGCCGTCAAGCCAGCTGCGCCCCTGGCCCTTATCTGGGTCCCAGGGCACCGGGCGTCCGTCTAGGCAGAGCACTCGCACCGCATCTATGAGCTGCTGCCGACCGAAACTCAGAAAGTGTCGAGAAGCGTAGATCAACGCATCTTCCACCGCATCTTCTTCCGCCTTGCTCAGCACAGTCTCGGGGTCAACCCTCGCATCCATGGCCATAGCACCGCTCAAACGTCGCGAGAGCGCGTCCTTGTTCACCCCGTAGGCCTTGGCACCAGCCCTGAGAGACAACTGACCACGGCGGACCGCATCGCAAGCCTTCTGCGCCTGTTGTGGGTCTACTCTTGCTCGGCCTATGCTCGCAATGCTTAGCAACAGACCCACCACAGGGATGAAAATAACCCGCATCACGGGTGTGGGAGGGCGTGTTGCTGCATCTCGTGGGTGCGTGACCCGATCGGGACGCTGAAGTGCTCAAACGAAAGCTAACGGAGCGCTTGAAAATTTGAAAAAAAAATCAGGGCTCCCCGCGGATTGTGCGCGGAGATATGTGCACTTGAAAAAATGTGTCTCTTAATGGGGGGTGTCTCTCTATATTAGTCCTCGAATTCACGCAGTAGACTCCGCTTTGAGGACGCTCGCGTTGAGGAAAATCCCCGCCTCAAGGATTTTTTTTTGCTGAGCACCAGGGGACCCGCCAGAATGTACGATATTGAGGTGCTATCATTTTGAGGAGTAACCAGAAACGGGTATACCCGGATAGATTATCACCATTTCAGGGTACACCTGGAAATCAAGACGACACCAATCTCCGACAGCATCCGCCGTAGATCGCGGCGAAACCAATATACCGCTGCCTGTGTCCTGTGTGTGCTGTGCCTCGGAAGCATGATGCACGAGGCAGGTCGTGCCCGTTTTTCTCTCTCTCTGTGCCTCTCTCTCTCTATGCTTTTACTGATAAGTAAGTACCACACCAAAGTACTCGCGCGTCAAGCGAGTCCGACCCTCTGTTGGGAAAGGACCGGTATCCTATGGAGGCGATGCCCATGAACGACGAACGAGCGAGCGTTGTTAGTGGTTTGGTTGTTGTTGTTGTTGTTATCTTCACATTAGGGTTGTGGTGTGTGTGGTACACGGTATGTGCGGCACACGTTTTTTTCTGCGGGTTTTATGCTAGAGCGATGGGCGGCGGGATAATATGACCATTGCTGGGTACAAAATTGACCTCTATCGGGTACACCAGCAACCAATATCGGTCACACCAGAGGGTCCTAATTCCAGCGGAAGTTGTACCTGATGGAGGTTTCTTCAGAAATGGGTACAATGGTTTTTCGGCCAGTCAGCTGACAGTCTGGGATTGCAAGCGTTTTGATTTCTAACTGTACCCTAAAGTGGTGATGAAGTACCCGGGTATACCCGTTTCTGGTTATTGGTCTATCATTTTTTCTGCCGCGTACCCCTCTTTTCTGTGTCCTGCGGGTCGCTCTTTGCACAAACCACGCACCACAGTGAGTGCAAAAGTAGCGACGCACAGACAGCAGAAGTATCGAGCGGTCTGCTGCTGCACCTGTAACAGGGTGTTGGTATGGATAGATACCTCCCATCTACCGGCGGTCCATGTGATGCCGCCAAAAAAAAGGTAGTGCACAACCTCGTTCCTCACCGAGGGCGAAGTTATCTCTCGCTTGGAGGACGTTCGATCCTAGTTGTATGCGAAGGGAAGGGTTGGCGAGTACCGTGAGACGCAGTACCTTCTTTCGAAGACCGTTCACTCGTTTACCCGTGGAACCCAACAGAGCCGTAGAGCCAAGCCGCGGGGGGAGGTTCAGGGAGCTCTTCGCGATATGTGGAGGGAAAAACCATCAGGGTAGCTGAAGTGTTTCTCGGTGCGACGCTGAAATACCCTCGTTTTTNCGATCCTAGTTGTATGCGAAGGGAAGGGTTGGCGAGTACCGTGAGACGCAGTACCTTCTTTCGAAGACCGTTCACTCGTTTACCCGTGGAACCCAACAGAGCCGTAGAGCCAAGCCGCGGGGGGAGGTTCAGGGAGCTCTTCGCGATATGTGGAGGGAAAAACCATCAGGGTAGCTGAAGTGTTTCTCGGTGCGACGCTGAAATACCCTCGTTTTTTCTTTATTTCACAAGAATGAGATAAAAAAATGTCTACTTGGACTTCCCTCCTTCCGCTGCCGGCTATGCAGTTCATCAATGACCAAGTACAACCTGGTGTACTGTAGATGTTTTCAACACGTCCCCGACTGCTGTATATCTCATTTTATAAGAATTGCAAATATGTTCGACGTCAACAAACGGTTGCCAGTCTCCTCGGCGATGCTGACATTTCGCACCACACCCTCCCTTAGCAAATGACGCGTAGTGTGAGGTATAGCATGCCTCCATTGGCCCCTGGGATGGTGAGCTATCGTCGCCTGAATTTTAAGGACGCAACCCCGCTATAAGGACGCTTTTTTTCGGGGAAAACCATGTGCGTTGTTAAAGCGGGGTCGACTGCATATCCGGCGGCGGCTTTGCCGACCCTTTACACCAGCCCACCCCTCCGCGCCCAGCTGTTCGCTGGAAGCGCCCAGCCGTTCGCGGCAACTCCCACAAACGGTATCTTGACGAATGACGGCTTCCCCTAGTCCGGTGCACATTGTTGCAAGACTGCCCCCTTGATATGACGGTCCCCCGGGAGCTATGGAGAGACCGTCGTCGTGGAAAGCCTCGTCATGTTCTCTTTTTGTTGCTCATGACAACTTGTAGTGCCTCTCGGGGGCCTGAACGTGAAACCTGTTGTTGAACGAGAGCCACTTTTGTACTTTGTCTTGAAACTCGGCCTTTGGGTGTTGCACTGCCGCCCTCTCTGCTCGACCCTGAAATTGTTGTGTACGTCCCCTGGTCTCACAGAGTTCTGTAGTTGAGAGGTCTATAGTTTCCTACTTAGTGGAATCTCCCTAAACGCCCACGTCTCCAACACCCGCATATGTTGTATCCATACCTGGCATGAGATCCATATTCTGCAGCAGTATCCTAAAATTTTGTTTGTCCGGGGTCCGCTCTCGATTTGGCATTGCAGGTGTGGGCACCCGCGTTGCACCACGCGGGCGAGCTTCGGCGCAGAAGGATCGAGGAAAGCAGAATTCTGTTCGCGACATGCGAAGGAGGGGATGGTAGACGTCTGGAGCAAGAGAGGTCGCTGCACCTACCAGGGCTGCGCCACGCGGGCGCACTTCGGCTTCGACGGCTGCAGGAAAGCAGAATTCTGTTCGCGACACGCGAAGGACGGGATGGTGGACTTCAGGACCAAGAAGCACGGCCGCGAAATTATTTCTGTGTCCGAGCAAGAGCCATCCAGCGAGGGACAGAGGGGAATGATGCACGAACTTTTTGGTGGTGGCCAAAGCGTCTCCTCAGGACCATCACCGACAAGAACGGGTAATAGGGGCAGCAGCAGCAGAAGCGACGGTACGGATCGGTTCGCCGTTGAACGAGCTCCGGCGGAAGAGAGGGAGGAAACAGCCGCTGCGGCTTGGCTGTTCATGGGGCTAAGGATGAAGAGGAGGGTTGGTGATGTTGGTAATAATCCGCCCCCCGAGGTTTCGCGTAGCGCAGGGCATGCAACGCAGTTCGGGCGGCCTATGCCAGGTTCGGTGGGACCGGTGCGGGATGAAGATGGAATTCCGGTGAGGGCCGGGCGATGATGGTGTTTAGGCGGCGGCGGCGGCGGCGGCGGCGGCGGCGTTTTTTGACCTGTGGTGCAAAAGCATTTTTTCTGCCACCGGTAGGTGTTAGCGCCAAGAGGGGAATTTGGAGTGTTGTTCTTGGCTCAGAGTTTTCGAGCTTTTTCTCGAGCTTACTGCTGGGCGGCAACTCTAGTCAAATAAATCATGTACAGATGTTGTGCCACGTTTTTCCTGTGTTGATCTATGGAGATATTTTCTTTGTTGTGCCGTGCGACGAAACCTCGAGTGCGTCGCTTGATTAGCGGAGTAATTCGTTCCTATTGAATTGCTATGCATCTTGCGTTGCTCCTGTTCCCTGCGTTAAGGCACGAGCATCTCTGTCGGAAGCAGCTGCACCTACAGCGGCACCCATAGTTCGGTGACATGCTAGGCGTTTGGCTGTACAACTGCGTGACACCGACCGGTTGATGTTGTGGAAATGGTCAGCACTGCTATGTGACTACCGGGATGGAGGCCAATGTTGTGCGCCCGAATGACTTCCGACGATTCCATCCGAACGTTGTTCTCCGAGCATAAGCTGTCAAGACTGCAGAAATGAAGCAGGAGTTTGTACTTTGTAGCTGATTTCGAGTACGGGTAGACGTGTTTTGCGGGAACTCCGCAATTATATGAGATGGGAGGTATGTAAAGAAACGAAGTGAGTAGGTTCAGGTAGCTGTGAATTGTTTTATTCTTCAGGTTTTGCGCTACAAGCTCAACGACTTCTCGTTTGTGTGTGTTGTGGTACAGCAGTCCGAGGTTCACACATACATCTGGTAGGTGGGGTTTGTGTTTTGTCTTTTTCGTTACTGATGCATGTTTGTCGTGGCTGTGGGTTTGCTGCTGCTGCTGCTGCTGCTGCTGCTTCTGCTGCCGCAAGCGCTAGCTTTTGCCGAGTGTTGAGTGAAGAGATATGCATAGAAGCATACAATCAACGTCATTGGTTCGGCGGTGTCGTATCGTGACATGCCCGTGTGCTTGTTGGGAGGATACCAGTGCTCCTCGTTTGGATACCTTCAGTTCACTCCGCCGTATGTTGCATGTATGGAGGTTCCTTTTTTTTTGCACTCAGCTGTGGAGTACACCATGCATGTTACGTGCTGGACATAGCTCCTGCGGCACAACCCGGCCCGGCAGTTTCACCAAGGTGGCTGACAGCTGCTGTATGGTGTGGACAAAAATCGGAGTCCTCTCCTTTGGCATGGAGGCTTACAAAGAAGAAACTGAAAAGTAGCACAGGAGTGGCCTACGAACGACAACGATGCAAGCCTTTTGGTGAAGGATGTGTTACATCGCTCTCTTCCTCCGTTGTATTCGCAAGTGTTATCTGTGCGCTCATCAATTGCATCAAGAGAGGCAGAGGAAGTTAGGATATGCTCAAATCAAACTCCCCACGTTATATTTCTTGTTGTGAAGCTGTAGACTTATCGTGGTATGGTTGAGCTTGAGGGGGGCTTGTGGTGGTGTGAGCACATACTCGGAGATTTAGGCAGTAGACGCTGGAGGTGTGCTTTTGAAACCAACGTTTATCTGTGTGTGCTTCGTCTCTCCGCTATAAAAAACAGCCTCTGGGCCGCGTCGTCGCCAACACCCCCTTGGAATGTAGGTTTATCGTTTCCCTAGTTTCCCTGCGCGGCGCAATATTCGTTTTGCTCCACCCCAAACACTGTGTGATCCAATGCTTGATCGCTTCTCACTCCCACAGACCCAAGAGCTTGCGAGCGCCCGACTCTCGCACGGCACTTTGCATACAACAGGATCCGTTGGTACTATAAAACACGCGGATTGCTTTTGATCGTGAATCACACAAAAGCTCTACCTGTCCGTCGGTGTACCAGCGCATTGGTTTAATTCCTTCCCTTCTCGAAGCCCCAGTCAGCCAGTCCCCTGAAACTGGAACGTCAAACACCCCAACAATGACGTCCTTCTTTTGGTTTGATTGGTCTAGTCTATCTACAGAACTCTGCCTTTCGCGGTGAATATGTGCATCGTACGCGCAAAACCGGCATCTGTCGATGGACTAGTCGAAATCTAGCGTGGTTGATCGCTACATCATGCGTGTCGTTCAATACAATACAGCAGTAGCCTCAGCGGGAAAAGGCAAGCTGTGGGGAAGACACAACACGCGGTGAGGTCGTGAGGTCCGTCCGAACTGACTGGACGGGCCCGCCGCACGAGACTACACGTACATGTGCGTACCTATGATACTTACCTGTTTAAGAGACATATAAAATTATATATCCCATCCACAGGCCCCCGCTGTTGCTACCACACGACACACGCACCCTTCACCTCACTCTATTCCTCCTCTTGCCGTCGTAGTCTAAAATAAAAGCCTACCTTTGTCAAAGTAGGTTGAAAGGGGTAGTAGCATAGGGAGCGACCGGAGTTTCGCCGAGCGGGGTGAGGTTGCGCGGGCACGGGATGGTGAAACGAAAATGCAGTCAGGACTCCTGCAGCACCGACGCGAGCTACGCCTACGGTTTGGAAGGGTCGAAGACCGCCAAGTATTGCGCCCGCCACGCGGCGAACGGGATGATCAACGTTTACAGCAAGAAGAGGTGCAGGCACCCAAGTTGCACGATGGTCCCATCTTTCGCGGGGAAAGGCAGCAACAAGCCGGAGCTCTGCAGCCAGCACGCGGAGGCAGGGATGGTCGACCTCGTCAGCCACCGGAGATGGTGCCAAGAACCAGGTTGCAACGCGCAAGCCTACTTCGGCGCGTCAAGCGACGCTAGCAAGGCGGAATTCTGTACGAAGCATGCTAGGGAGGGGATGGTCAACACCCGGAGCGGGATAATCAACAGAAACAAGAGTTGCGAGGACCCAGGTTGCACCTCGGGAGCGACCTACGGCATGGATCCCACCAAGAGGCCAGAGTTCTGTTCGCGACACAAGACGGACGGGATGGTGAACTTGTCCCGAAAACGGTGCTCCTACTCGGGCTGCACCATCCGTGCTACGTACGGCATCGACGGATTCAAGAAGGGGGAATTCTGTTCGGCACACGCCCGGGACGGTATGGTCGATGTTACGAGCACGAGGTGCAATCAACCGGGCTGTAGGACGCAACCGATGTTCGGCGTAGCGGGGGGGAAAGCGGAGTTCTGCGTTCGACACATGAAAGACGGGATGATTAACATCCGGTCGAACACGTGCGGTCACCCGGATTGCACCACGCGAGCGAGTTACGGAAAAGACGACCACATCAAGAAGGCAGAGTTCTGCGCCCGCCACGCTCAGGTGATGTACGAACGAAAGCTCGCTGGGCTATATCTACTTCCGGTTGGGAACCAAACAACCGATCAAACTCAGAGCAATGCGGCTCTACACTTGATGAGTTATGCGCTAGGTTCGAGGTTCTTTGTCTCTTATGAATGCTCGATTGCCTTCACATCCACCCAAGGCTAAAGGCTCACAGCAGCAGACTATTCCAAAAGCTACCGAGGGAACCAAGATTTGCCAAATTCCATCCACTGCTGTAGGCTTCAAACTTGTCGGCGCGACCCGCAGCCATTTCCCCGAAAAAATGTGAAATCGCATCTACGCAGCGCCACCACGGTGCTGTGCACCCGCGGTAGAGGCCAAGCACGAGAACCCGCCCACCACATGATCAATCGCCACCAAAATTTGAGGGAAGACCAACTGAGCCCCAGATAATATATTGCATAAAAAGTCAACTTAATTAGTGCAAAGGATCTTAGTGCAAAGGATCGAGAGGTGTTGTGCGTGTGTTTTCGTCCTACTTGAAGTATTTATGATGGCGACAGTCCCCCCATTTTTCTTGGTGAGACGTGTACCACACTTTTCAGTAGAGAGTGCTGCACTTTTCAGTGTATTGTTTCGTACAACTACAACCATCCAGGGTCACACAGGAGGGGGTAAACACCGGGGCTTTTTTCATCTTTTTATTTCTTATTCATGCCCCAACCTTCCCCCTGCGGTGCGTGCTGATTTTTTTTTCATCGCGAGAAGGGTCCAGCTGTTCCATTCCCTCGTCAACGGTGCTAACGTCGAAGTTTGGTACTCACGAGAGTTTGTCAGCTGTAGTTTGCTTTCACCCGCACATTTCGTAATTTTTTCATCCCATGGGGATTCGAACTCGCGACCTCTGCGATTAGCGGATCACGAGGATACCACTAGACCACCGCCCCGGTGGTCTAGTGGTATCCTCATAATCCGCTCGTCGCAGAGGTAGGCTCGAATGAAGTTGAAAATTCGCGTTCGCATACAGGCACCGTGTTTATGCCCTGCCACGGTGCCGGCAACACCAATCATTGATCATGTGAGCTGCTGTTCTTATGGTTGTACAGCACTTGGAACTGTGCTGCAATGCGAACTACAGGTGGAGTACTCTTGAATGTCTTCAGCTAGGTTTGAACTAAATCTGCTGTTGAGGTGCCCCCCTCTCCTGCTGCTGTTGCACCGAACACGCTTTGTGCCTGTTGACTCGGGACACTCACCCAGCTACGAAACTCTCCTGCTTCCCGAAGAGCAAACATACAAGAAGGAAGGAATAGCGACAGTAACCCGGCAGCCACACTAACAGTAAGTTTGGACACTAGTGACGTTGTGCTATCTGATGTCGCATGCAGGCAACGGCCGGCCTATGTACACCTTTTTTTTCTCAATTACGAATACCCGCACTTAAGCATTGGGTGTGTCGAAAACGCGAGGAAATATCAATACTTACGCACGAGCAATGCACATAGCCCCGCCCCCCCCCCAAGTTGCCTAACCCTATCAACATCATGCCCGAACAGATTAGTACAACAAATAACTTTTTTACAGTCAGCACAAACGACATCGGCCTCTAGCCGGCTGTTCAGCGTACGACTTCTGCCCCTACGTCTCATACTGTGCCACCCTTGGTCAATGTATCTGCCGGATGCATCCAAGGGAACACACGTGAGGCACGGACCTGTTGAACCACCAAGGACGCGCGCAATATATGGCATTGAAACATGGATTTAGAATATATCAGACTACAGCGCCATTTTTATATCTTTATGATGTGGAGATCTGACGTGCAAGAATGCCCGTCACGACATCCCCAACCCCAAGCCAGGTCTCTCAAGGAACGTTACATGCACCTGCCTGAAGAAGTAGCCAGATCTCAGTTCCAGGCGTCGGTTACAAGATCCGCACATCATCATCTGTCTCTCCGTCACTCTAGACCGGGTCGATGCTCTTCTCGTTCAACCCGTCAGATTCCCGATCGCTGGAGCCAGATTCGCCCAATCCAACCTCATCAAATCGTCGAGTGCACCGACCGAAACGTCACCGTTCTTGTTCGACTCGGGGTCCTCCAGCTTTGCGTTTTTCGACTCTGCGGCCTCGCCAGAGGAAACGTCATTGCTCGCAGGTGACTCGGGGGTCCCAGCCTCCACGTCGTTCTGTTCCGCTCGGTGCGATTCCTGCTGCTTCCTCGAGGTGATCAAGAGTTCCAAGGCGTTGGCAACACGCAAGGATGGCTTTGGTCGAGTCTCGACGGGTGGTTGGGGTCGGGCGCTACTCTCGATCGAACCAGTTTGAGGAGCAACCACCGTAGGCCGGGACGCAGACCTTTCACCTGCTCGCACGTGTGCCGGCGCCGCCCGACGTAGTGTGCAACGACTTCTGCAGCCGCAAGCGAGCGAACACTTCCTGTCCTTGCACCTGCACCTGTTGCACAGGGGCCGTCTCCGGATTGCAACCGCACGCCAACATGACTGTCTTTCGGTCAGGGCCGATGAAAGAATACTCGGACAGTCAAGGCGCACAGTTCTCGGCTGTGAGTTCGTCACTGTCGCTCCCCTTTTCTCGTGGGTCGACGCCCCCATCATTTTCCGGCATACTCTGTCGCCGGTATAGTCCCCCTAAGGCCACTCTGCCAGTTCCGGAAAATGGCACCACCCCGTGCTGCCTGCTTGCGCAAGGAAAAACAAGACGGACAGGTGGCTGTCGTCTTCTTTTCAAGGAGTTGGAGAAAGGCGTAGCGGATCACACTTCTGTGTTCGTCGACGTCGCCGTAGACCCGTCCGAGCTGCTGGGCTCGAGTTGGATGAGCACTGCCAAACACCGCATCATCCTTGTAGAAGAACGTGGTTGCCAAAAGTTTCGGGTATACGTCGATATCCACCACCCACGTACCGTCCTGCTCCTCAAAGAACAACGACTCGTCAAATCAATCCTCAGTCTGCACGTTTTTGAGGACGAGTACTCACATCTTGTCGAACGGCAGCCCGGAAATCGCCGGGAGGAAATCACAGCGCGACTCCAGGAAGGTCAAGGCGAACATAAGGACTTTGTCGGTGTCCGTGGGTATCCAGCTTCTTAAGGTTACAGGGGGCCACGCGGATTCGCTTGCGTCCTCGAGTGCGCAGATGCTGGCGAGTTCATCCACAGGAACTTAGTCTCGCCACCCACGACCTTCTGGACGGTCACGTCAACCGCCCCCTCGCCACGGGGCGGGAGCCAACCTGTGGTCATCGCCAGTAGAATGATCACCCATAGGTCCTTATCTACCGATGAAACGACCCACTTGTCGAAGCTTTTCCCGTCGTACTTCGCCCAAATGATGAAGTGTATCTCGGAGAGCTCCGCCTGGCCGATGTCTGGCGCACGCTGCCGCTCGACGCCCGGGATCGTGTCGGTTCCGTCTCGAAAGTGAAGGAGTGGTTTGGTTTCGGAAAGCGCCTCCCTGGTACCTACCCCATCGAGGCCTACGCCCTCGGCATCTACACCAGCTGGATGATCAGCACTCAGACCAGGCTCACCTCCGACGCCAAAGAATGCGAAGGTTCCGTTGGGCGTGGTGTCGCCGGTCCAGACATCATCAGCTAACACGCGCATGACGAGGTTGGCGGCGATTCCGTCCCGCGCCGTCTTGCGATCGGCTCGAAGCCGTGACCCCTACTGTAACGAAGGAACCGGGTCCGTCGACTGCGGGTCGAAGGTCCGAGAGCACTCACCAAGTTTCTCGGTCCTCCCAAGCTGCTCTTGTCCTTTGATTACCGGCACCAGTTCCTGGCGGTCGTAGCGCACCAGGAGTAGCTCCGTCGACTGGAGCCACTTCGATAACAGCTGCTTCTTGAAGTAGTCGATTATCCCCGCGGTTCCTGTCTCGAGATATTCCGGGTGCACCCCTTGGTGGATTGACACGGGAAGATGCACGCCATGAGCTTCGGCGACGTAAAACGGGTCGTCTGTGAACCCGTCCGCACAATGTTCTCTGACCCACTTCCCCGCACCTGCCGCCTTGTTGGCGTGATTGGCTCCTGATACGTTAAAAGTCCAACAGGGGTGAATGGGGGTGGGGGGGGTGTACTCATAGTCGTGCATGCCGTAGTCGTTAGACCATTGACCTCGCATCCCTACAAAGCCGGGACGGAGCACGCCGGGTTCTCACCGGACCAGGCTCTCACATCACCAAGCGCGAAGCGCCGTGAGATATTCGGCGAGTCGCATGAAGGGTGCGCTGCATCCTGCTAAGGGTGTTCGGCATCTTGTGCTTACTTCCTTGCGTACGGATGACAGCTGCGTATGAATTAATTTATTTTCTGGTGCTTTCACTTCCAGAGACAGTTGTAAGCACTGTGTAACTGCCTCGAGGGTGCTTGACCATTTTAACACAACGTGGTGCGATCATCCCCCTTGCGCGGAGTGAAGGTTCTCGACCCCGCAAAACATGATCTACTCGACCATCATTATCGTTACCGCCAAATAATAAAAAATACAGGTAAAAAAACCGGTAGCCTGGTTGCCGAGTTGACGAAGTGAATTGGCTTGTTTTACAACGTCGTT